GTATAGGTGGTATTTGCCGGACTTGATAAGAAGTGAGCAGAAAGCAGAGTGATTCCCTCCCTTCCACAGATCTGTATTTTGAAAGAGAAGTAGCTGTATTACTTACCCAAGTCAGTCATTCAATTATCAGAGTACACATAAAAAAATCCAAATTAACTACCCATTACCAGGATGAAGGATAAAAACCGAAATGATAAAATAAGGATTAAAAGGCACAAGTGTGCACAAATAGCAAAGCTCTGTGATGGGTATAAAGATGAGTGATGCAAAATCTGAAGTTAAAAAAACCTGTTTGATATGCAAACACAGGCTTAAGGATAGACTATCAAAAAATGCATGCAAGAGGGGAAAAAATGCATCTGATTGAAATACCAGAAACCACACAGCCCATTCCTTACCCTTGATTCCTCTGAAGAACAATTCACCCCACCAAGAAAAGAAAAGCTCTTAGATGTAGAAAGCAAAATCCTTATCAGGATAGACGCCCAGCATTTAGGAAACAATTTGAACACGGGGAAAAAATAATCTCTTTTCCCCATGATGTGGCAGCAGAGAATAGATCAGAAAGCATCAGACAGAGGAGTCCAGCAGGGCTAAAAACGGGGAGGATTTTCACATTCAGAGGCCAGGAGAAAAGAGTGGGCAACTCACTGACAAGCAGAAGACAGATGCAGATGATTGATTTTTCTGTGTTCATCTTCGCAACGGCTCTGAAACGTTTACCACCCCATTTGATTTCTTACCAAGCTCTGAGCAATTTCTTCCTCTTTTGAATGTGGGGACAGCACAGCTGGCATCCTCCCTCCACAGTTTTACATGCCTTCCCCACATTATCCACTACCCGATGCTCTAAAGTATCTAATTCAATTCACTCCCATGAACACGCATTGCGTCCTTACCTGCATGATGGTAATAGGTGCTGAGAAGCAAAATCAAAGTACGCAGAACATCACTTTTCATTCCAAGTCTTGCGTCAACTGTAAAAGAACAGGGTAAAATAAATTGCTTTCTAATAAGGCATTTTTCTACTCTCAGATTATTTCACTCTGTGATACACATTTGCCTCTCTTTACTGGGTTTCATAACAATCCTTAGAATAGTCCTTTCCTTGATTTTATGGCTTCCACTGACAACAAATGGTGTCAGAATGCCCAGGAGATGTCTCCTCCTGGATTCTGCGATTCAGTTTCTAGCAAAAACCTTCCCTTTTGTAAAGAAGGCAATGTCTAAATAAAGCGTTACTTATGATCTGAGATCTTCTAGGCTTATGTCCTTAGATCTGCGATTACTTACACTGCTTCTCAAGAATTTTTTCTGAATTCTTCTCTAAGCCCCACTTTGCTTACAAACAACTTGGCTGGGAGTTTATTACCTTTGGACTTACGCAGAAATATATTTGTGCATGTATATATCTCTCTGCCTCCTTTCTCGAGGGATTTGAGATAGGCTGGAGAAATACATAAATTTGCAAACAAATAAAATAAGACTCCCAGAATCCAGGAACATATGCGAAGGCAAATATCAAACAAAACACCGTGAGAATCAATTGCTTGACATGAGGCTGCAAATTTGGTTCTAAGCATCAGAAGTGGCCAAGGCAAAGAAAGAAACACTGTCCTAAGATTCATAGGATCTAAAAGTTCAGGACAAGCAAGCTGCTATGCGGAAGCACAGCTTTTCTGGATACTGAACCCTGAGAGACCTCTCTCCCCATCCTCATGAAAACAACATTGTGAGGTATATTAGATGACATTAAAATGCCTTACAAGTTTCATGTATTTTGCCATTACATGCCTTCATATAGGCTGAAGTCTTGATACGAAAAGATAATTCAGTTAATGTAACAGGAAGAGGGACCCCAAATTACTGCTTTAGCCAGCCTCCTGTATCAGTAGGAGGACTTCTTAATTCTGTTCTGACCTGCTTAGGGCTTCCATCGAGGGTACCAGTGTTAAAGCACAGAGGAGGAGGCCATGTACTACGGCAGAGATTGGGATGATGTGGCCTCAAAGCAAGGAGGCTGAGGAAATGCGGCCACCAAGAAGGAAACTGGAAGAAGCAAGAAGGATTCTCCCCTAGAGCCTTCAGTAGGAGCTCAGGCCTACGGACACATAGAGTTTGGATTCCTGGCCTTCAGAACTGTGAGAAAATACATTTCTGCTCTATCAAGCCCCCCAGTTAGTAGAAATTTGTCAAGGCAGCCTGGGGGAAACGAATACACATGGAATATTTCAGATGACTTAATTCCAACTTTTCCCTCGGAGCAGTGCCTGAAACGGTTTCACATCATCTCGCTGTCCAGACCCTTCCGGCACTAAGACAGTCCTGTTTCCACCCTGACGAAGTGTTGATGCTTTGACAGGCAGCCACCGCTGCCGGTCTGGATGCTTCCCCTCGCTGCCCCAGAAGCACTGGGGAGGCCTTGGCTCCTACATGGGAGCTGGACAATGTGTCACTTTTACATCCGTCAGATGTCTCTTGTAAGCCCTCATTCCAAGTTGTTCTGCTGCCCCCTGACAGATAGTGACAATTTTGAATTTCTGGTTGCATGGTACTTTGTGTAATTAAAAAAAAGAAAAAGAAAAACCTGCTGCAGAGATGAACTGAATAGGAGAACAGTACATTATTATTTGGAGGGAAGAGGGTCCCTAATTGTGGAACAAAGCAATTCCTTGTATGTCAGCCCTAAATCAATGTTTCTTTATTTCTAAAGTTGTGTGACGGCCTGCAGTGGTCTTTCTCGCACGTCAGGGCGCAGTCAGGAGTGATGTGTGGTTAGCAACGCGGCTTGTCTGTGAAGGGCCTTTGACGAAAAGCTCACTGCATCTATTGACTCCCCAGAAGTCTGAGGTCACAAGCTTGGCTGGATCACATGAGCCCAGATAATGAAGATGGTTTTGCCCTCCTGAAACAAAGCCAGAAACTTTATCTACTTCATTGTGCCCTTTGGGTTATGTGCTAATGATGAGGATTTGTCTACCAGTAATCCCCCTAATGACGGCTTCTCCCAGCCCCTACACAAACCCCGCAAGGCCCCGTGATCTGGCAAGCCGCGCAGAATAAAGGCAGCACGGCATTTGGCTTTTGAACTGAGTTCAAGGCAATTAAAGTCATGGGCTAAGGAGGAAAGGAGGGGGTTTGGAAATACCAGTATAATAAGCAGTATGACTAGAGCGCTTGGTAAATTAACTCAATTAGACAAAGCCTGCTTTAACAGGGGAAGACGGTGAGAAGCGCTACCCTCATTAAATCCCGCTGCTAGAGACGCTTCTAATGGAATTAAATCTGTTTTAGTTGTTTGAATCACATAAAATAGCCTGTGCGTGTGCACGTACACACGTGCACACATGTGGGTTCTGCGATCTTTGTGGTCTTTTTTCAAGAGGAGGGGAACAGAACGCAGAAAAAACCAATATACCGAAAAACCGCAAATCCCCCAAAGCAAAAATCAAGAGCTAGGTGAAGGCTCCAGAGCTCGAGAGTGGAAGCCAAGGAGAAAGCAGGGGAGGAAGGAGGAGCAGAAGGCAAGGCAGTTCTTCCGATTGTGAAGCCATGGGCCCCCTTGGGTGGGGGCTTCTGCTCGGCTGCCTGGGCTGCGGACTCCCGCCGGGAGCCCGGGCGCAGTTCCCCCGGGTCTGCATGACGGTGGGCAGCCTGCGGTCCAAGGAGTGCTGCCCACCAGTGGGTGCGGACCCGGCCAACGTCTGTGGCTCTCGGGACGGCCGCGGCCAGTGCACGGAGGTGCAGGCTGACACCAGGCCTTGGAGCGGTCCTTACGTCCTGCGAAACCGGGATGACCGAGAACAGTGGCCAAGGAAGTTCTTCCACCGGACCTGCAGGTGCACAGGTGAGGGAGGCGGGCAGAGGTGCGCATGCGCCCGGCCCGCTGGCAATGGAGCCCCTTCCAAGGAAGAGGGGATTCTTGAGCTGGTTAGATAGGATTGCAAGACAAATCAAGTTTGTCCATCGTACACAGCGAGCTGAGTAAGGCTGTCTTGTATACTCTTCGCACCCTTTAGCACGTCTAGTTGTGGAAACTAAATGCATCTTCTATGGGCCAAGCTCCATTATGTGAACGCATGTCAACCACCATGCGCTTGTTTGTTGGGGCGGGGAGCTAACGGGCCCAAGAGTCAGCTTTGAAGCTCAGAGCAAGTCCTTTCAAGATGGATTCGGTGACCTCTCCTTCTGAAATGGGTCTGCACTTGTCGAAGAGGGTGGTGGGGGAGGCTTGGCACCTGGAAGACAGACGTTGAGGGTAAATGCTCTGAGTCTCAGTGTTTCTAATGTTTTGAGCAGGCCTTAAGCAGGATACATCTTGCTCTTAAATGTTATGACTGGGTTGTAACTTGCCAACGATGCAGAGATGGGGGGGCGGGTTGGGCTGGGGAGGGGGCAGTGCTTTCTCGGGGAGCTCAAGAAGAGAGGGTTGTTATTCAATAACAATGGCTTTTTCCCCGCTCTTGTCTGGGATTGATGTGAGCATTTCAAAATTTGCTCGGCGTCCCTCTTTTAGACCTTGGTCTCTCTTATTACCTGTTTCTTTGAAATCTCCGTGCCCTTCTTACTCTGCCGGCTCTTCTGAGCCTTTCAAATCCTCTTTAGTGATGCTCCCCTCCAGTGTTCTGCAAACATGCACAGCAGTGATAAACACTCAAAGGCTGGCAGGGCGTGTGAAACACAAAAAACCCAAGCGGCAACTTCAGCAGAGCCCTTGGAAACGTTTCTATGGTGTCCAGCTGCAGAAGAGTTTTTCCTTTTTAAATTATGTTTTTATTGATGTTCTTCTATGATGCTGGAACATAGGAAAATATAGGTAATTAGGCAAGGTAGGGTATAGGAAGGTAAACTAAGGGAATGTACAAAGGGCATGTAGGAATGATATCAGGTTTTTTTAAACTTAAAAAATTCTGGCTTTATAATCATTTTATAGTCATATTCTTAAATTCTGTGATTCAAAGGAACTGTTAGTTTTGTCTTAGGGTATCAATTGTGATAAAAAGGTTTTAATAGCATGTTGAGTATATTCATTTTTTTCTAAGCTAATTGAGCGTTTGCTTGGATAGACATTATCTTGTAGATTCTCATGGTTTTTCAGTCTAATGAGATGCAGCAGATTTCATTTGACTTGTGGTGTTGAAAACCACACTACATAGTAACTTCTTTATCTATGAGTCAAAAATTATTCAAAGACACTTAATCCCAGGTCAATCAACGATAGAGTGTCACAAGTTACAAAGGTTGGGAGCTTCCATTTTATAGAATTCTGGGGGCAGAAGACATGAGGAGATCAGATACAACTGTTAACTCTCCTTGTCACAGTCTACTTCATTTTTTTTACTTGGCTAGCAAATTTTTTGTTTGTTTGTTTGTTTTGTTTTTTTAAAGCAAGGATGGAAGGAATCGAGAATGGCAGAATAGAAGGGATAATTGCCGTCCCCTAGTCCTGCAGGAACGCTTATGAATTTTCCTCTAGAAGTGGCAATAACTTAGGATCACAGCGACCTACTTTCAAAACATAAAAGGGGATCCCCTGCTCTGAGGAGGATAAACATACTTAAAAATGTAGGAGACCAGAAACATGGCCTGTCCTGTAAGTCCAGAAGGACATCACATGTCTATGGACTAGTCAAAGGAAGCCTCAGGGTGTATGGTCTCCAGCTTTAGCCATTGTCAAGGTCAGGACTGCCCCTGAGAGCCCCTACTGGGTTGCAATTTGCCTCCCTTCCTCCATGATTTGATCTGTCTAGACTCATCTGTCTAGACCATAGGATGGAAACACCTATGATTCTAGATGGTCTTTTTCTTTCATTCTCAGGGCACTAGGCTGAGTCCTCCGTGACCGAGCTGGACAACTAGCAAGGACACACAGTAATCACTGTGATGTATCATATGCCCTGAAGCAAGACACATGTCTTTCAGTTTATTCTCCTTAAAGAGTGAGTTGTTCGCCTTCTTTGGGTAATTTCTTAATGATTTAGGAGGCAGTCTTCAGAATTTAAACCTGATCTTGAGTGACCCAAAGCCCCCCACTCTGGTAACCTCAAAATTTCTTTGCAAATAGAACCCCAGGGATTCTTCTGGGGTTACCCAAAATTTATTAAAGAAGAGATGTAGATCAGCATCTGGTGATCAGACTGTTGATGACCTTGAGCTTTGTTAATTCAGTGGAAAGATACACAAACCAATCTTCTGTTGACAGACATTTAGGTTGTTTCCACATCTTGGCTGTTGGGAATAATGCTGCAATGAATGCGAGAATGCCCGTATCTTTTTGAGATCCTGATTTCAGTTCTTTTGGATAAATACTCAGAAGCAGGATTGCTGGAATATATGATAGTTTCATTTTTAATATTGTGAAGGACCTCTATACCGTCTTCCATAGCAGCTGCACCATTTTGCATTCCTACCAGTAGTGCATGCAAGGGTTCCAGCTTCTCCACATCCTAGCCAAGTGGTATATGTATTTGCAGTTGAATACTATTCAAACTTAAAACAAAAAAAGGGCAATCCTGCAATATGCAGCAGCATGGATGAACCTGGGGGATGTTATGCTAAGGAAATAAATCACAGAAAGACAAATACTGGATAGTTCCACTTATATGAGGTATCTAAAATAGTCAAAGGATCAAAGAGTGGAATGGTGGTTACCAGAACTGGAAGGAAGGGGAAACAGAGTTACTAATCAGCGGGCACAAAATTTCAGTTAAGCAACATGGATAAATTCTAGAGTTCTGCACAACCTTGTACCTAGAGTCAACGATAATGTATTGTTAACACTTAAACACATAAAAAGGTGTTAAGAGGGTAGACCTCATGTTAAATGTTCTTATCACAATAAAAATAAAAATAAAAATAAAATAAGATAAAATAAAAAGCACCCATAGTCTTCACAATCTTAAAGTACATAAAAGATTTTAGCCCAATAAAAAGAAAGAAATGCAAACTCTTGGCGGGGGGAATTGTGTGCTCAAATTCTCTACAGAGGACTTCTCTATTTTCCCTGGATAAAATTAAAAGCAAAAAATTTCTGAACTCAATTGTCAAGAAAAGCTGAAGACTTTCAGAAGACTTTGGCATTAATCATTCACCTTCCAAATCTTACCTGCCAGATGGCATGCCTGAGGATAGATCCTTGTAGCTGTGTCTTCAGATTTTTGAAAAACATGTGCACCAAATTGTTTCTGAACAATTGTCTGAGAACGTCTTGTTTGTACAAGTGACTAAATGCCTCCATTTTCCAATCTCTAAAATGGAGATAATGATGAAACCACACTTGTAAAGTCCTTTTGAGCTCTGTACATGAAAGACCTTACATGAATATAAAGTATTGTTATTAATATAATAGAATCTCTAATTAAAAGGAATAGGCTATTTAGAGTGCCTTGTAAATTCACTAATCGGTGGTCTTTAAGCTTATTTAGTCTAATAGCCTTTTGAGGTTGAGCTGATGCAGTTCGTGTAGGAACATGAATTGTTTGGTTGTCCTCACTCTCTTTCCATTTTTGTCCCAGTCCTGAGTAGGTGTAAGATTTTGTCTTTGTAAATTAAATTTTTGCTCTAGTACGTCCTCAATGATAGATAGACTGGTGTCTAGAGATCCTTTAGTTTTTCTCTCTTCATCTCCCCCTGAGATAATGCAATCCTTTCTAAAAGGGCTCCCTTCTTATATATATATTTTTGCTGCTGCTATTGGTGGATTAATGGAAAAAATTAACTCATATTAGAATGATGTAAGGAACTACTAGAAAATCTAAAGAAATAAACGTTTTGTGTGCTAGGCTTTTACCTTATTGCCCTTTTCAGTTGTCTTCAGCATTTTAACACATTCTTCAGATCAGGTTTAGCAGCTCAGAAATGAAAGGGATGTGACTGCAGAGCTGTGGGGTGTATTCCCCCTCTGAAACATGCTGCAGAAGGGCTTTTTTTTTTTAAAATCGAATACATTCATGGGTCACAGGTGAACTCAAATCTAGACAAATGCTTTCTTATTAGTGTTTCTACATTGCTTTTCGGGGGCAACTCTGGCTTTGTGTAAAGAGATGTCTTTGTTAGACATAATTGTGAAGCATCTCTGGTCTTCTGAGTCAGAATTAATCACTGTCTTTTGTCATCCTTGGTGCTTCATTAATTCTTCTGTTTTCACTTTTCCCACAGTGAGACTCGAGTTGATATTTCATTGCACCCATGACCCTAGTCTCCACTAGATGAAAGCACTGTGCCTTATTTATAATTGTATCCTCTAGTGCCTAATGCCTTTAATTCAATTATTCCTGGATTCCTTCATCACCCACCCAACCAGTTTATTTAGCACTAATTATGGTAGGGCCTTCTGCTACCAAGAGGGAAAAACCCAACATGATTTTTAATGTGTCTTCAATATAGTGGATGAGTTTGATGGTCCAAAAACAAATACTTATACCATATGACTTGATAAATAGTATCTAATAAAACTAGTGGTAGTAGCACTTCATATAGAGCTCGCTAGATACCAACAATGTTCTGCTAACATGATTATTTTCCATAAGAATCCTATGAAGTAGGACTCATTCCAGTGGGACAGGCTCTGAGAGGTCAATTCCAAAGTTACCAAGTGTGGCAACTGTACAAATGTACATAAACCTGTGGGAGCACAGAGTGGGGCATGCTTAGTTTTGACTTCCTGCTAGGCAGTAGGTGTTAATAAATTATTTGCTGAATAAATGAATGACATAGATAATTTGTTATTGGCAATTTTGTTTCTAGCAACCAAAAAGAATCATGGTAGAGAAAGTGCAGGGATTTTAAAACTCAAGGCCTAAGTTATGAATTACTCAACTTTAAAATGAGAACCCAAAATTCAAAGTTTTTTGCCTTTAAATCTGGAAATGTATTGAATTTATTATTTCAAAATTTATGTGTGCTATTTCTTACCTTCTGGGGGAAGGAAGGAATTACTCTCTTTTTGTGGAGCTGTGGCAATACATTCACCTCCAGTATCTGGCTGTACGTAAACAGCTGGAAGTTTGGGTATTTGGAATTTTTCATGTGCATTTTGTTCAATCAGTTTGCAAAAAAAAAAAAAAACAACTCTATTCCTATAAAAGCTACCAAAGTAGGTGACCCATTTGAATCACAGATGTTTTAAAAATAGATATTTTACAATTTTAGTAGGTATTCCGAGGGAAAATAAATAGACTCCAAGCTCCATGAAGGCTCAAGCCCTTTTAATAAATATTTGTTAAATTATTTGTATTTTATTGCTTCACTCCAGCGATCAACAGAAATTTTAATGTTTAATGCAAACTGTTGAAAAACATGATTTTCAGACGTCAGACTAGTAGAATTTTTCCTTTTTAAATTTTTTTTTGCTTATATTATCATTTGGTGTTGAAACAAAGGAAAATACAAATAACTGAGCTATGTAAGAGATGGTAGAATATTTTGTATGTTGCAAATGGCATAGAACCCAAATGACCAGTTACTTAAAACATTGTTCTTACTTACTGTCTTTGTAAGGACATTTTCTTAAACCATCAAAAAATCCCCTGGGTTAATAGAAAAGGAGGCCTATGTGTTTTCTTTACATAGGACAAATGCTAATCATTTTGTTTTTAAGCTATTGGAAAATTTTCTTTTCTTTTAATGATCCAAATAACCCTCTCTTTACTACAGTCATAGTATTTTTCACCTCCTTCCATTTTGGTACTTACAGTTTGTCAAAATCATTTACAGGTTCTGCTTTTCCTTCTAATTCAAAAAGACAGTGAGAAAAAGAAGAAAATTTAGGTTTATTGAATCATCTACTACATGCTTTATACTCCTTTCTTTTCTTTTTAAATTAGGATGGACCTGGAGATTATCATACTAAGTGGAGTTAGTCAGACAGAGAAAGACAAATACATGATATCACTTATATGTGAAGTCTAAAAAAAAACTGATACAAATTAACTTATTTACAAAACAGAAATAGTAGCATAGACATAAAAAACAAACCTGTGGTTACCAAAGGGGAAAGCGGGGTTGGGGTGGGGATAAATTAGGAGCTCTGGATTAAAATATATAAAACAGATAACCAATGAAGGCCTGCTGTATAGCATGGGGAACTATATTCAGTATTTTGTAATAACTTGTAATAAAAAAGAATCTGAAAAAGAATAGATTAAAAAATATATATGTATTACTAAATCACTTTGCTATATATCTTAAACATTGTGAATCAACTGTACTTCCATTAAAGAATTTTAAATTTCAGCTTTTTTGAGGTATAATCAGCAAACAAACTAGTGAGATATTTAAAGTGCACACCCTGGTGATCTGGCTCCGTACTTCTTTGATTCACTAAACAAATATTCATTCGGACAAGGCCAAGCACGGGTTGCCTGTAGCTAAGACAAGCAGATGCCTGCGATCTGCAGGATTAATTCAGTGAAAAAGAAATAGGAGGTAACATGGGAGGGCAGCGTGAGACCATCTGACCCCGATGCGTGGAATCGGGGACGACCTTGCGGAGAACCCATCGTGAAGCTTAAAGGTTGAACACACAGGCCAGGCAAAGAGGAACCTAGGGAGGCTGTGGAAGTGAAGTATTCCAGATGGAAGGAAGAGCACCTGCAAAGATCTGGGAGGGGGAGGAAGGGAGCTGGTCACCCACATTAAATGCTTTACATAAACCCCCTCAGCCCGCAGGAGATAAGTGTTACATCCCCCGCTTTTTAACAACTTTCAATTTTTTTAAAGCGTCAGTTTCTTTTTACTTATTCATTTATGGGGGGATTGGCCTTATTTATTTATTTTTAATGGTGGTACTGGGGATCGAACCTCATTATCCCCTTTTGTTTCAAAATTTCATGCCAATACTTTATTCCTTTATAACTATGTAAGTTTTAAAAGCTAAAGCTCTAAACATTCTAAGAAACAATGAACAGTACATATATGTAAATTTTTAAAAATGTGCAGTGTATTGTATATATGTATTTACATGCAATATATTAGATATGTGCAGTCAAATTGTAATAATTCTACCTAATAACACTGAAAAATGAAAACAAAATTCATGCCAGTAGTATTTAAATGTTTACTCTAACTTGTCACCACCTAAGGAATGAGGTGCTGGTCATACGAAAAGCAATAATCAAGGCTAAGAAAGGAAAAGTCAAGCTAAGATAATTTAAACTTTAGACTCTCAGAAAGATGCCTAGAGCGTGGTGTGATGAGTGCTTAGTCCCCGGGTTGATAAAGCAGAGTCATTTGTGCAAAGACTGGGACCCTGCAGTGATTTGCACTCCCTGACACCATGGCAGCTAATTCACTTTTATGACCTGTCAGCTTCCATTGATTTTTGTCTTAACTCTGTCTCCTTTGTGAAGTAAACCAGCTTTTTACATGTAGGATTTCACCTAACTTCCTGGAAATCAGCTTATTTCTTTTGGTTCCACCTTTAGCTGGTGTCTATTCTCTTCCTTCCGTAAATCCATGACAATTTTTGTGTCAGCCCTTCTGTGGGTGCCACAGGAGAGGGGCGGCCCCGCAGCAGGGACATCGGGGGTGGCAGCCCAGCCCCAGGCGGGGGCGTGGAGGGGACCCCAGCATCACCTGTGAGAGCAAGGCGAGTGTGGACGGCAGCCCCCAGGGTCTTAGTTCGCTAGAGCTTCCATAGCACAGTGCCACGGACTTGGGGGCAAACAGAAACTCATTCTCCCGCAATTCTGGAGGCCTGAAGTCCCAGGTCAAGGGTCGTCAGAGTGGGGTTCTTTGGAGGCCTCTCTTGCTGGCTTGTAGATGGCTGTCTTCCCCTGTCACTGTGTCCAAATGTCCTCTTCTTATAAGGACACCAGTCGTATTGGATTCGGGCCCACCCTGATGACCTCATTTGAACATACTTACCTCTTTAAAGACCCCCATCTCCAAATACAATCACATATTGAGGGACTAGGGGTTAGGACGTCAGCATGTGAATGTTGTGGGGACACAGTTCCGCTCACAGCAGCATGGACTCCATTTCGTATCCTGTTTCCCTGCTGGGAATATTTCTAGAAACTCTCTAGTGTTCAGTCCGCTTGGGGAGACAAAGGTTTCAAGAGGACAGAAAGAAAGGAAGTCGGCTTTCCTTGTCTTCTTGTCAGCACATTATTTCTCTTCCCTTCTCCCCAGAGTTCCAATTCAGGAATTTCTCCCAAACCATGTAAAACTCACTTCTTCCTTCTTCCTCTTCATTTTTTAAATGCGCTAGGAAACTTTGCCGGCCATGACTGTGGAGACTGCAAGTTCGGCTGGACCGGCCCCAAGTGCGAGCAGAAGAAACCACTGGTTGTTCGGCAGAATGTCCACTCCTTGACCCTTCAGGAGAGGGAGCAGTTCTTGGGGGCCTTGGACCTCGCCAAACACACCCCACACCCCGACTATGTTATCACCACGCAACACTGGCTGGGCCTGCTTGGGCCCAATGGGACCCAGCCACAGATCGCCAACTGTAGCATTTATGATTTTTTTGTGTGGCTCCATTATTATTCAGTTAGAGATACATTATTAGGTGGGTTTATTTTTTTCTTTAGCGTAAGGTATTTTATTGTAGGTTTGGGATTGGGGGTGGCTGGGTGGGAAGTACTTTCAGGCAAGTTCATCTACAAGAGAACAACCTCAAGGAAGGATTCAGTTTACGAAAGTCATCAAATTGTCCAGTTCTGCCTGGTGTTAGAATGGAGGGCTTTCTCCCTGTACGTTGGTTTCAGACATTTGAAAACATTCTCTCCTGTAGTTTGTGCTTTGGGTTCAAGGTCTCAACTCTTCTCTGAGGAGTTATTAATCCTCGAAGGCAAGAGCTGATGTAATGGAGGCAGATTCCTTTTGATTCCAGAAGAAAATATTTCTAAATCTGACCATGGAAGCCCTCCCTAATCTTTTCTTCAAATTAGAGGAATTAACTGAACATGGGCTAAAAGCACACGAGGCTTCTTGGTGCAGAATGAGAGTGTTTGTGTTGGAAGTGTGTATCTCGTGTGTCTCACCAAACTCACATGCATTAGGTTTGAGACTTTCAGGCCATCGCTCACGGTGCCCATGCACTGCTGGCATCCCCAGGTTTTGGGGAGTCGAACTATCAAGGAAAAGCATAAGCTGAACCCCAGCAATATAGCTGAGCTTAACCCTTTGAACCACAGTGACGTTGGATGCTTGAGAAAATGGTGCCCTGCTCTTCCAGATCCTAAAAACTGGGGCCTGGGTAGGACTTGGAACAGAGAGCTGTCTGTTAGGAACGTCATTAATCTGGCACGTCCCACTTTATCCTCTGTTACTTTCAGTCAGGGCAAAGCCATAGATACTAGTTAGTTCCAGGTGGGCTGAAGTCCATTCCAGATTCTGCTCAGCGCGGTTCTGAAGTCTTGCTGTATTTGCAATCACCTCCACATTTTTCGGTTTCTCTTTGGAGTCAGGGCAAATTAAGACGCAGACCTCACTTTGAATAGTAAGATTCTCATTTGGAATCATCTGCCCTTGTGTTTTTCACTCGCTTCCCCCTCATCATTTTGTCTTGAAAACTTTAAACTTTGTTCTGCATTAAAACATTTACAAAGGACGGCTGCCGACAGCAGCAACAGCCGTTTTTTCCCCCTCAGTGTGAGTCTTCTTAAAACTTGCCTCGCAGGTAAGAATCTGTCTTTCTTTATCGATGAATTTGGACGCTCTACTGGACATAAACCTTTACAGTTTTCCTGTCATCACTCAGGAATGTTTGCTGTATGAGAGGGTAGTCTCTCAAGAGGAAAAGAAAACTATGTTTCTGGTCATGTGTAGGAATTAAATTTATATTCATGTCTGTTCATCTCTCTGAAGCTATTGTAGGTTCTTTGAAAAAGAACTAAAGTTAGCTAAAGTTTCTACATGGCCATCAAAAAGCTGTTATGAAAGGGAGAAGAGGGCTGGAGCAGGCAGTAAGGAGGTCATTAAATTGCCCAGAGCTTCTCATGAAAATTGGCAGTTCCAGAGGCCGGCCAAATTGGTTTGAATGTATTTTTCTCTCTTCTGGTCTCGGCGACCATGCTTGTCAGCGAAGAGCTGTAACTGATCGATGGCTCAGGCAAATCCGGGCAAGTTCCTTTTGGTTATGTAACTGCTGAATTAAGACTAGGTGCAGTTGAAGTTGCTTTATTATTAATTAGTCCTGCCCTATAAATGCGTGCATTTATAAGCAGTAGGTTAGGAAATGTCTTTTAAAAATATATTTTGCTTATATCTTAATGATCTATTCCTTTGGATACTCTTATTTTACCTTAATGAAATGTGGCTTAAAAATTAATTTTAGCGGGGGAGGTTATAGCTCAGTGGTAGGGTGCCTGCTTAACTTGCACGAGGTCCTGATTCAATCCCCAGCACCTCCATTAAAATAAATAAGTAAATAAATAAACCTAGGGACCTCCCCCCCCAAAATACAAACAAAAAAGCCAATAAATAAACAAAATAAAATATCAAAGAAAAACTAAATTTATAACAGGGCCTCTTAAGATGACCTTAATTTCTCTGGATCTCTGCTGTCAATCAAACTTTCAAGAGATGAAGGAGAATTTATCCTAAATGTGCTAGTTGCTTCTGAGGTCATTTTGTTGTCATTGCTTTCAGAGAGAGAAATGACAAAAACAGTTGTTTTCTGACTAAAATGTCATGGACTTACTGGCTCTGCAGCACATCCCAGGTAAGATTTAACATTAAAAAAAAAAATCTATTCTGTGACCTCTCATATGTTTCCCAATGGTTTTAGGACCAGGGCGCCCATACAAGGCCATAGATTTCTCACACCAAGGACCTGCCTTCGTTACCTGGCACCGGTACCATTTGTTGTGGTTGGAAAGAGATCTCCAGGTTGGTCAAAATTTTGTTTCTTGTATTTTGCTATATGTTTGGTGCAGACCCATACCAGTCTTTGCTCGGTGTGATTTCTTGTTGCAACTGATGGAGAGAATTAAATGACCAGGCATGCCCTCTGCTTTTAGCGACTTATTGGCAACGAATCCTTTGCTTTGCCCTACTGGAACTTTGCCACCGGGAGGAACGAGTGTGACGTGTGTACAGACCAGCTGCTCGGGGCAGCAAGACCAGATGATCCAACTCTGATCAGTCGGAACTCCAGATTCTCCAGCTGGGAAATTGTCTGCGATAGGTAACGACATGTGCACCTGCAGTGGAAACCCAGAGACCACGTTTTCTTGCGTCTGAGAGATGGAGGGTCATTTTACTGTCCTGTTCCTCATGCATGTTGGGTTCTGTGTATGTGTTTCTGAAAATTATTTTTCTGAGAGAGGTGGGGTTTTAAAGAACCCTGAGCCTTTTGATAAAAAAAATAAAACAAAATAGAGGTTTGGCAATCACGCTTGGGAACTGAATATGCTTGGCCATCATTTTGAGATTTTAAAAATGAGAAGTAGTTCTTGTATTCAGCCACCATGTCTTAAGCACCGATCATAATCTAAGCAGTTTAATAATGCTGGGAATACAAGGATGAATAAAATACAGTTTCCCTGTGGAATATCATTTTATAGTTACAAAGGTAGATTGCTGGTAAACAAATTACATTGCAACATGAGACGTGTTATAATAGGCGGATGTGCAAAGCCAAGAAGAGAATCAGGGAAAGTCTTTAAGAGGTGGAGACACTTCTCCTGCGACTTCAAGGAGGCACAGACCTCTCAGCCAGAGGCGGAGGAGGGTGGTGTGCGGTAGGAGGGAGGAGGGGAAACCACATATAAAGCTAGGAAAGTCTTGGGAAGCCGACTGGTGTGGCTGGACCATAGGGTGCTGCTGAGTTGAAGGGAACAGGAAATGGGGTGGGGAGAATGATCTCTAAGGTACCAAAGAACACATAAACAGCCCGCAGTCCACGGAGAATGCTGTCCTCAGTGATTCCTTGAATTTATTTCTCTTTCCTGGCACACATGTCAGGAAGGCCTCCCACGGACCTCTTCTGTCTTCCTTTATTCATTTGTTTCCTCCACGACCCTCCTGGTTTTAACCCCACTATTGTAGTGCCCTTGCCCTGTGTCTTTCGACTGCTTCAAGGCACAGAGCTTCGTTGTCAGCCCCCAGAGGCTGGGAATGTGCGTGTTTTTAGGGTTATTGGTCTAGTTCACAGGGATTCCATCGTCTGCATCCTAAGCTTTTCCTGCAGCCCTCCGGGCAGTGCTCCACAACACGTAGGGATGTAGTGAGTGCTTTCTCCGTGACTTTGCGAAATTCCGCAAAGCATCATTTCCCATAGTGCCTTGGGCTATTACTAGGTGGTATGGTGAAAAGAGATTTCTCTGGTCAAATGAATTTAGAGAATGTTGAGTTAAAATGGGTTTCTAAATTTTAGAATATCTCGGAGACTTTTATTAAGTAACCGAACTCTTATTTTTCAAGAGGGGCTTAGACTCATCTGACCTTGGCACCCTTATTTCACAGACCATCTCACTGGAACCCACTTAGGAGATGCTGCTTCTGAGGCCCAGGTTTTTGGTCCTGGCCTCTTTTATCCTCATGTGTGTGCTGACTCGATTCTCACATACCCACTACGATTGCCTCACCCACTAAAATCCACACAGAAGTGTCTTTAAAATTTTATTTCTGCCAAATGAAATACTCTTCTGGTGGTGGAATTCCAAGCCACACAAGCACATAGGACAAAATATTTTATGGGCATGGAACCTTCTCAGCCCCCATGTTTACAAAGTAACCATTGTACTGCTAGAACATTTTCTAATACAGCATTTCTCCTAGTACCTCTCCTCCACATAATTTCATCTGTTACTACTCTGACCGCCTCCATTTGTCTTTAGTTTGCTTAAATGCTTTCCTAGCTTTACGTAGACACTTCTGCCAAAGTTGGCTTAGTTCAACGTGACACAATTTACACTGGTCAATTACTTGACATTCATACACACATAATAGAAGTCACCATCTTGCTTTGTAAACCCCCTTACTGTCTTTCTCATGGAATTCTTCTTCATTATTTTTAACATATAGATTCATATTTTATGCATCTCTGTTTTCGAAACTGCTTAATCCATAGTTACTTTCGGAAGCACTACATTTTCCACATATTTTTTTGATCCTTGTAAATAGAATAAAACTCTACCATGATTATGACTTTAATTGGTTTGCTGAGCCCCAGCTATGACACTATCCATGAGTTAAGACATATTATTTCTAACCATCTTAGCTTGGATGACTACAACCGCTGGGTCACCCTGTGTAATGGAACCTATGAAGGGCTGTTGAGAAGAAATCAAGTCGCAAGAAACAGTGAGAGATTGCCAACTTTAAAAGATGTACAAGATTGTCTGTCTCTCAAGAAGTTCGACAACCCTCCTTTCTTCCAGAACTCCACCTTCAGCTTCAGGTTGGTGCTCTGAGCTCTGCTGCACTTTATAACACTTGGATTTTCATGCGTGTGGTTGTGACGAACTGGAAGGAAAGCCAGGGGTTGGGAGACATCAAAGCTCGGGAATAGAGAGGCTCTTGGTAAGAGCGTTTAACAAGGCATCAGCGTTAGGAAAGCCATCCTCCACCTACTATCATAACAGTATGGTTTCATTATCTTCTAACTTAGCTATTCAGAACTACCTTTTGTATTTTTAATTTCTGTACACATATAGGTACAGTCTTTAGAACCAAGACACCTTGTTAAATGAAATGTTTTTTAAATATTTGTTCATGCCTTTTGTTGTTGTTTTTTTAATTTATCAGCCATAGACCTTAATATTGGGGTCTGAGATGTCAGAGGAGTATCAGACCAAATGCAGCTCAGATCCCAGCACAGCAATGACGTTACAATACTTGAAATTTAAAAACCAACTAATAATCTTCTTCCCTTAAAATGATGAGAACTATGTATGAATATAAATAAGATTTTAAACAAACATCCTTGAAGCTCCAAAAAGGAATGGCAGATAGGCTCATGGTTCCTCCCAAACTGGATTCTCTGTCTCGTAACAGTGTGTAAATTATACAACTGATGGGTTATTTGGGGCCGGGGGCAGGGTAGGCTGAATTTAATGCAGAGGTCTGTGCTGGGGTTGGATGTAGCCCTCAGAGTAGTGTCAAAGGTGAGATAAAGGGTGACATTTAAGCTTGTCTTGAAAAGGAGTGTGCATTAGTTTTTCATTGTGATAAAAGCATGATGGACACAGATTTAGTTCCATATAGATTTGAGTTAAGAGACTAGTTCTCAAAATGTGGTACCCAGACCAGCAGAATTGGCATCACCTGGCAGCTGGCTAGGACCACAGATTGTTAGGACCCAGTCTGCCCCTACTGAATCAGAAAAGCTGGAAGTGGGGCAGGAAATATGTATTTTTTTTCCCCCAGTGATTCTGTTGTATGCTTAAATTTGAGGATCACTGAGTTAGGGAATGGATAATTGAAATTTCCTGAAAATGGGGAACAGAATAAAAGAAAAGGATAAGGAGAATTTGGGGGTATATTTAGCTGAATATATTACAGTAGCAGAGTTAATTGAGAAATAGGGAGTCAGATTATAAGTTAATTTAAAAAACATTGATTGATTTCAGACCATGTACTGAGAATGTTACTGAGCTCTGGTAATGCAAATCTGAACAAATCAGTCTCTGTCCTCCAGGAGTCCATAGTCTGGCATGAGAGACAGATATAATGGTAAATAATTGTCATACAGTACCCAGAAGAGACAGAGTCCAACTCAGTAGGTGCAGAAGTAGCGCTGATTGAGCGTTCCCTCCCGTCTGGAAGAGCATCATTTAATATTGTGGCTAATTCTTAGTTAATTGCCTACAACAGAGCTTCCCACTTTCCCCCACAATCTCGAAGACTGTTATTTAGGCTGGAAACAATAAAAAGAGACCTTTGTCAATTCATGGTTCTTGTTGCTGACATACTGATTTCCCTCAGGAATGCCCTGGAAGGATTTGATAAAGCAGACGGAACCCTGGACTCTCAAGTAGTGGGCCTTCATAATTTGGTCCACTCCTTCCTAAATGGGACAAGCGCTTTGCCACATTCTGCTGCCAATGATCCTGTTTTTGTGGTACGTTCAAAGGCTCAGAACAGATGAAAAATTTTCTAGATAATATGTTGGATTTATTTGCTTTTCTATGAGATGAAAGTTTAGCATGTGTTTTATTCTCTGTGTGAACCATGGATGTATGCGTGTGTAAATTAATTTTAATCTACACTGTACGGGTAGTTAGATAGCGTTTGAAGTCCCCTCATCAGAAACCTGGGCTTTGGAGATGGTGAGCTTTGTAACAGCCTTAGATAGGAGTTTACAGTCCAGGGGTGGGTTCATACATTAGCATAATATTATAAGTTATATCATGATTTGGCATATCATACGTTAGCATAATGAGGAATGATTTTTCATTGGTGGAATGAGTGGTTGTTGAAGATAAGTGGGGGTGCTGAAGGACTGGGCAGGCACTGTGTCCCTTACACGATGCCCAACTACATAACTGAGGTCCAAAACTCTGTTTGGTGTTTGGTCCTGGTTCCCCTCACTTTGCAAAGGATTCTGACCAAAAAGGAGCTGCTCCTGTCATCAGAATATCATTGTGTCCGCTTTGGAGTGAATCCTCCATGCAAGGCACTTGTTAGAAGAGAGCGTGGACTTCCCTGAGTGGTACAAGAACAGGTTTTTTCACTCTTTCTGTGTCTACTTGCTAATAAACGTGTGTGTAGGCTGACCAGAATTTCGTCTTATCCTTGCTTTCATGGTTACGCAACACTAAGTAACAAGTTTATTTGAGACGGGGGAGAAGTATGGCCGCTGTCCACCCCCATTCGCAGGAGGCTGCTGAATGTAAAAGAACCTGGCAGTGCTGAGAGGACGAACTGGCCTGGGTCAGTTTGCAAACTTAAAGTCTGTCCTGTCTCTTTTGTTTGCAAATGAACAAAGACTGAACTCTAATTTAGAATAAAAAAAGTCAACTTATTGGCTTAAACAACTGAGAAATTCAGTAGTGCTCCTGGCTTAAGGCATTGCTGAACCTGAGGGCTCGAGTGATGTCCACTTTCTGTCTTTGTCTTCACGGACAGCCTCTTTCTGTGTGGCGGCTGAGATGGCCATTGGCAGCGACGGAGGTACTTGCTACCCTCTTAGCACACTGGTGGAGAGAAGCGGTGTTTCCATAGCAGCAAGAAAACGGCCTCACGATTGGTCAGGACTGGTTACCTGCCTTCCCTGAGCCAATCAGTGTGGCAACGGGAATGAGTCTTCTGATTGGTGGGACTTGAGTCGCATATTCACCCATTGCTGGAGGTAGTGAACACCCTCCACCTTCTCTCTACCGCCCCCTGCCCCTCTCCCTAATATACCTTTGGCGAATTCCCTGCAGAAAGAAAAGAGCTTGTTAGCCAGAACTCGGAGGAGAGTTGAAGCAGGGGTTCTGGACAGACAAAACCAGGCCAATGCCTTAATGTAACAACTCACATTTGACGTCGCTTACTTTTTTAACTGGCTTTGTTATACCCGAGAGGGAACACAACCCCTAGAGAGAGCTGTTACTGACTATAGAGGAACCTCTCAGCTTTTTAATAGTACAAAGTGTGATCCACTCCCTTCATATATTTGAATCTGATTTCTGCCTCACTTTAAAACAAAAGGAAAAACAGATGCAAACTTGATAACAGGATTATAAATGTTAGAATTCCAAGCTTTATTAGTGTAAAAAGTATGTTCACCAAGAGGCTTTCCTGAGACAGACAAAATGTGGGCAGTGCAAGTCAGAACCCCATTATCCCAGCTCTCCTTGGTACCCTCCAGCCACGGAGCACTGGCAGCCACAGCATGGGGAATTGTGAAGTGTCTCAGGTGTGAGAAAAGACTGGAAGGATTTGGGCTGGTGCTAGCTGATTTGGGGAGGGTTTAAGGAAGCACAGCTTTGCTCTAGATTGAATGCTGTCAAGAAGCAAGGTTAATTCTATAATTGGGTATCCCCCAAATTCTTATCTATATGGAAGGCAGACTGTAATTGGTAAAGCAACAGCTGTTGCTTGTATTAGCCTGAAAGGGCTAATGTTCATGCTAAGTATTTTGTGGTTTGGAAAACGTTCATGTTTTGTCTGTGCTCAGACATGATAATGGAGTTGTCTTTGTCCTGATCCTCTGCAGTCTGAGTAACCGCGTCTGATGTTGGTATTTCATGAAATTGTTTATGTCCAACAGGAGAGGCACCGAGACCTTGCTGATAGTGTCAGGCCAGCTCCTGGATGTCAGGGGTTACTTTTTTTTTTTTTCCCTTAAGTACATGCACCACAGTTGGCTTAAAAGCTGTAGACAGCATAAATGTTTGTGTTTCAGCTGCTGGACCCCAACAATACCTCGGCTTTACAGATACCTAACACTCACTGTTTACGCTGTCTGTCTTTGGGGCTGTATGTCTTGGATAGATGGTTTCAGAGCAGTTACAAGAAGAAATTTTACCACTGGTCCTTTTTTATTTTGCCAATATTTTGAGTTTATATTATTATCCAGTATAGGTTGTACAGTAGCAAGCAAACACTCTGTTGTTTTTTTCTCTCAATTTTTCTCACCTTAATGTTATTCTTAGCAATCTGTCTTAGTCTGCTCAGGTTGCTGTAGCAAAATAGCCCAGTCTGGATGCGAGATGTTTACAGCTCACAGTTCTGGACTGCGACGTCCAAGATCAGGGTGCCTGCTGATTCGGTTCCTGGTGAAAGCTTTAGTCTGCCAACTCCAGCTTCAAGGGGTCAGGGTCTTCTCTGCAGTCCGGATCATCTGTTTGGTCCTACTTGTCTTCCTGCTCTAGGTAGAAGCCCACATTATGACTTTAGGGATGAGGAATTCCATGACTTACATGTAGTTCAAAGACACTACATGTTTAATCATCCTTGTCTTCATTACTTTTAACACCTTTCAAATTTAAAAGTTTATTTTCTTTGGTATGAGTTTTGTAGATATAAATAGACAAAGAACCACAGCCTTTCTTTGAAGGCACAGAAGGAGTAATGTTTTGGCACTGGTTGCAGAACTCTTAATTACTATTGGCTATTTACAAAGAGTTTCATGTTGAAGCCAATTCAGCCTCACAGTATTGAAAGCCAGGCTGAAGCTCTTAAGTTAACAGAGTTATAGCTTCTGGAATTTCAAATTCACAAGGCAATTTATGCAAATATATTGCATACAACATTTATTAACATTATTCTTGTGAAATCTCTTCAAGCAAGTACAACATTGTATGTGATTATAATAATGAGTAAAAGAAGGTATAATGTTAAAATGCAGGAAAAATGCTGAACTGATTTCTGAAAGTCTAATAAGTCCTAAGGTAACTGAAGGAAATGAACACATTTATCATGAAAAATAAGATTAGGTCACAGGAATGCTAAGTAGTTCTGTTTTCAATAGGAAATTTAGGTATCATCTAGAGAAGAAAAAAAGGAGGGACACCGATAGACAGGAAAGTTAAATAGTTGAGTTAAGCACCAGAAAAGAAACTGTGAGTTCAACTGCTTAAAACAGAAAACCACAGTGTGCTGGTCTTTGGTAACATACAAATGTCTTTGCAGTCAGCCTTCAGTTTCCAGAGCAATCTTCCTCCAGACACAAATACTCTTCTTGTGTCACCAGTGTGGCAGGAATCGGAATTTGCCACCATCTATGTTAGGTTTGAAAGTAACTTTATGCTCCAGTGATCTTAAGATTCGCATGCTTTCTTATACTTTATTAAGTTTCTTTTTGCCTGTAAGCACAATGTTAGTTGATCAATTGTTTTCTTTTACAAGGGTTACATTGAAAAATTCTTATCTTGAAAGCCCATGTAATCATATTTTCTTCAATACTGCCTTCCAAGTTGAAATTTAGTGATTTTTTTTCCTTTCTTGTACCAATCCTTATTTTGTTGGAACAAGATAGAGTAAGTTTGTTTACCAAAGTTTGTATCCTCATTTCTGAAGCACTCAGTTATTAATGCCAGAATATAACTGAATCTCTAGAGCAGATATAAGGCAATGACAGTATGTTTCTACTTTGCTCTTGCTCTTATTTATTATCCTCAAATTACATTTAGCCTTTTCAGAGATGTTAACTTAGCTTATCTTCAACTTGTGTCAGACAAAGATACCACTAGTTTCTCAAGAGCAATTCAAGATATTTTGTTTAGGAACGATGTTGACAACTTCCACAAAAATACCTAGTCTCCAGGCTGCACTGCTTCTCTTTCTAGTCTGTGGACACATTGTTGCTCACAGCATTTTGTCTATTGCATTCCTCGGATCTTCTTGACATTCACTAGCCTTTTTTTTTTCCTACATTCTATAAATTGGGTATTCTGAATATAGTTCCTATAGATCATTTATTGTATAATGTTTAACAGCCCTTCTAAGACTTAAAATCTCTCCTTGTTATTCTTCCCCTGTTCTTTTATCTCTCCAAATTATGAATTGTTTTTAAAGTCTTGTCCCCTCCTTAATTATTTACACTTGGCACCGAGTAAATTCTCCCTAGTTATTTGCCTCTCACAGCACTGAATCTGCATCTTCCTATGTCCTGAGAGTCTCTTACATCTCTTTTTCTAATCACAGTTTGATCTCTAACTTGAACTCAGACAGTATTTAAAAGTTCAAGAACTATTGAGTGCCCTTCTTTGGAAAATACATTCTGGTACACCCCTGGATACTTTTTCTGTGTCTCACCTAGGATTTGGTTCAGCTGCTTAAAACAGAAAGCCAAAATTACAGAAACCTAAGCCAGAAAGTGGTTTACTTTTCTCTTAATGTAGAAGAGTTCCAGCAGCGGGCAGTCCAGGGCTGGTACAGCATCTCCACAGTTATCATGGGCACCGTCTGTCTTTCTGCTTTACCATCCTTGGTGAATGGCTTCTTGTCTTAACTTTGCTTGTCGGCTGTTAAGATGGCTGCTGCAGCTTCAGCCATCACATCTGTGTTCCAGAAAGCAGCAAGGAGAAATGAAAAGGGAAAAGGGGACACCTTTAAGCAGAGAAAACCACCTTTAGCAATACTTCCTAGAAGTCCTGTGCTATGACTTCCAATTAAATCTCATGGGTAACCTGGCACATTGCTTCGCCACAAATACAAAGGAGGTCACTGAGGAGGAAGAGGAGAAAGCACAGGACTGAAGGAAACACAACTCTCCACTTTGGGAACAACCTTCTAACCTTGCCTGGGGTTCCTGGGATTTAGAACACGCAGTATCTTTTTCAGGGATCTACACTGACAACTAATGCTTAGCTCCTTTTCCGGGGGGGGGGGCGCCTCTGCTCAAAGATGGCTTTTTCTGAACTCTACTTGTGGGAACCATTGTTCAGGGGCATTATCATGTGTTCTTCCAAAGTTGTTGCTCATGCAGTAAACTCTATGCCTTTATTCCTTTGGGGCTTAAATTTCGTTACTCAAAGCCAACATTTCAGAATTCAAAAAAGTCTCTTCTCTATGTAAAAGTTCAGGTCTTACAACTTGATGTTTTGGTTTTTAACATGATTGTCTCTGCCATGATCTTTAAAAAATCCATTCAGGGTTAAAAAAAAAAATCCCTTCAGTAAATCACTTGGTTCTTTTCACTATCCTGAATGTAGAAAGCTCTCACTATTGCTTGAATGGGTCCACTAACTACAAAGAGCCTTGGGTAAGATTTGAAAATATTACCTATTAAATAAACAGAAGGACAATGCAACTAGAGGGGTTAAGGAATGCAAAGAACTAAGAATTCAGACTGAGGACAGTCAGGGAAGATGTCTCAGGTTGGGGACTACTGAGTTTGTCTTGAAAGACTCTGATGCCAGAAAACAAAAGGAAAGGAGCTGCAGACAGAGGAAATAGCACCCACTAGAAAGAGGCCTGTTTAGATGAATTGTACAAAAAGTAAAACTACTGTGCGTGGCACTGTCATCAGCCAACAGATGCTTTTTAAGCATTGATCCTGTCCAAGTTGCATGCTAAGCCTGAGACATCAAAGGTGAAAAGACCTTATCTCCGAAATTTAGGAGTTAGGGGTGTTGATAGGAGAAACAGATAAACAAATAAGAAGTTATGGTATAATTTGACTGGTGCTATCATTGGTGAATGGATAAATGAATTCATTTAACAAATATTTATTGAAGTAAGTATCTCCCTTGTCCCATGTGACAAGCTGTGGGTGACAGGCACAGAGGGGGGACACAGTGGAGAAGGAAAAGCAGACGCTGTCCCTGGAGCTTACTGTTCCTCGAGTCTAGGAATGAAAGAGGACCTCTTACAGCCTGGGCTGAATGCTCACATTTATGTCTTGTTGCCAGATCAGGCCGATAAATGTGAAATTATGCTGTTCACATTTTACAACGTGTAATAATTGCTCTATTTGGAAAGGACTTTAACAGCTTCCTTGAGAAAATAAAACTGAGTACTGTGCACATTACAACATCTTTATACTTTCCTTTGCTGACATAACAGTGAGAATTCAAAGGAGAGGGTTATAAAATGAGCACATAGAGGGATGTTCTTGGTGAGATAAGTTTGAAAACCCATTTTGGATATTTTGTCTCTTTCTTTCCCTCTTTCCCCCTTTCCCTCTTTCCCCCTTTCTCCCTTTCTTTCTTTCTTTCTTTCTTTCTTTCTTTCTTTCTTTCTTTCTTTCTTTCTTTCTTTCTTTCTTTCTTTC